GATCACCTGCCTGTCTGTGCGTTCCTTCGTCCTTTGTCATCTTCCTCTGTTTCCATCTTCTCTTTGTGTCTGTCTGTTTCTCTGGTTCTTATTCATCTGTCTTCTGTCTGTTTCTCTGGTTCTTATTCATCTGTCTTCTGTCTGTTTGTTTTATCTGTCTGTCTTCCTCTCTGTCTGTCTGTTTGTCTGTCTGTCCGTCCGCCTGTCCGCCCGTCCGTCTGTCTGTCTCTCTTTCATTCTCTCTCTCTCTCTCTCTCTCTCTCTCTCTCTCTCTCTCTCTCTCTCTCTCTCTCTCTCTCTCTCTCTCTCTCTCTCTCTCTCTCTCTGTCATTCTCCCCCTCCCTCTTTCTCTCTTTCTCTCAGCCTATTCCTTTCTCTTCCAGTCTCTATTCTCCAAACTTTCGTCAAACTTATTCGGATTTTTTCACTTTCCTTCTTCTCAGAATTAACTTTATCTCTTATTCTCGGTTACAATTTAATATCACGCCTGTTGGCTTTTTTGTTTTTTTTTATATAAATGCAAATTCTGTTTTCTAAGTGACTTTCTTCTCGCGGCGAACTGGGATTTATTCTTAAGGTTTAAAAGAGAAGGAGAAAGAATGGTAAATGTTCAATTGTTTGTTTATTATCGATCGTCACATTTTCTTCGTATGTCTATCTGCTCACTGCTTTTATTTTATATATTTTTTTGTATTTTAGGAAGTTTACATTCTATCTACTTTCTGTTTCTCTCTCTCTCTCTCTCTCTCTCTCTCTCTCTCTCTCTCTCTCTCTCTCTCTCTCTCTCTCTCTCTCTCTCTCTCTCTCTCTCTCTCTCTCTCTCTCCCTCTCTCTCTCTCTCTCTCTCTCTCTAACTATCTCTCTCTATTTACCTGTTTCTGCCTCCCCTCCCTCTCCACATGCACACACACACACACACACACACACACACACACACACACACACACACACACACACACACACACACACACATACACACGCACACACACAAACACACAAACACACACACACAAACACACACACAAACACACACACATGCACATATACACACACACACACACACACACATGTATAAATATATATATATATATATATATATATATATATATATATATATATATATATATATATATATATATATATATGGGTGTGTGTGTGTGTGTGTGTGTGTGTGTGTGTGTGTGTGTGTGTGTGTGTGTGTGTGTGTATATTTACATATCTATCTATCTATCTGTTATATTTTTTATTTCTCCCTCGCTTTTTTTCTCTCTCTATCTATTTATCTGTCTCTCCCTCTCCTTCCCTCCCTCCATGCAGAGGACGGGAGCCCTGCTGAGGGCTGGTGCCAAACCGCATCGGGGGATGCCCTGCTGAGGATGGGAGCTCTGCTGAGGACGGGAGCCCTGCTGAGGATGGGAGCCCTGCTGAGGATGGGAGCTCTGCTGAGGATGGGAGCCCTGCTGAGGATGGGAGCCCTGCTGAGGACGGGAGCTCTGCTGAGGATGGGAGCCCTGCTGAGGATGGGAGCTCTGCTGAGGATGGGAGCCCTGCTGAGGATGGGAGCCCTTCTGAGGATGGGAGCCCTGCTGAGGATGGTAGCCCTGCTGAGGATGGGAGCTCTGCTGAGGATGGGAGCCCTGCTGAGGGCTGGTGCCAAACCACATCAGGGGATGTCTTGCTGAGAACGGGAGCTCTGCTGAGGATGGGAGCCCTGCTGAGGATGGGAGCCCTGCTGAGGACGGGAGCTCTGCTGAAGATGGGAGCCCTGCTGAGGATGGGAGCCCTGCTGAGGATGGGAGCCCTGCTGAGGATGGGAGCCCTGCTGAGGATGGGAGCCCTGCTGAGGACGGGAGCCCTGCTGAGGACGCTGAGGGGGATGCCCTGCTGAGGACGCTAAGGGGGATGCCCTGCTGAGGGGGGATGCCCTGCTGAGGACGGGAGCCCTCCTGAGGACGCTGAGGGGGATGCCCTGCTGAGGGGGGATGCCCTGCTGAGGACGGGAGCCCTGCTGAGGACGCTAAGGGGGAGCCCTGCTGAGGGGGGATGCCCTGCTGAGGACGGGAGCCCTGTTGAGGGGGGATGCCCTGCTGAGGACGGGAGCCCTGTTGAGGGGGGATGCTCTGCTGAGGACGGGAGCCCTGCTGAGGGGGGATGCCCCGCTGAGGACGGGAGCCCTTCTGAGGGGGGATACCCTGCTGAGGACGGGAGCCCTGCTGAGGACGCTAAGGGGGATGCCCTGCTGAGGACGCTAAGGGGGATGCCCTGCTGAGGACGGGAGCCCTGCTGAGGGGGGATGCCCTGCTGAGGACGGGAGCCCTGCTGAGGACGCTGAGGGGGATGCCCTGCTGAGGACGCTAAGGGGGATGCCCTGCTGAGGACGCTAAGGGGGATGCCTTGCTGAGGACGCTAAGGGGGATGCCCTGCTGAGGACGGGAGCCCTGCTGAGGACGCTAAGGGGGAGCCCTGCTGAGGGGGGATGCCCTGCTGAGGACGCTAAGGGGGATGCCCTGCTGAGGACGGGAGCCCTGCTGAGGGGGGATGCCCTGCTGAGGACGGGAGCCCTGCTGAGGGGGGATGCCCTGCTGAGAGGGGATGCCCTACTGAGGGGGGATACCCTGCTAAGGACGGGAGCCCTGCTGAGGGGGGATGCCCTGCTGAGGGGGGATACCCTGCTGAGGACGGGAGCCCTGCTGAGGAGGGATGCCCTGCTGAGGGGGGATGCCCTGCTGAGGGGGGATGCCCCGCTGAGGACGGGAGCCCTGCTGAGGACGGGAGCCCTGCTGTGGGGGGATGCCCCGCTGAGGGGGGATGCCCTGCTGAGGACGGGAGCCCTGCTGAGGGGGGATGCCCCGCTGAGGGGGGATGCCCTGCTGTGGACGGGAGCCCTGCTGAAGGGGGATGCCCTGCTGAGGACGGGAGCCCTGCTGAGGACGGGAGCCCTGCTGAGGAAGGGAGCCCTGCTGAGGACGGGAGCCCTGCTGAGGGGGGATGCCCTGCTGAGGACGGGAGCCCTGCTGAGGGGGGATGCCCTTCTGTGGACGGGAGCCCTGCTGAGGGGGGATGCCCTGCTGAGGACGGGAGCCCTGTTGAGGGGGGATGCCCTTCTGTGGACGGGAGCCCTGCTGAGGGGGGATGCCCTGCTGTGGACGGGAGCCCTGCTGAGGGGGGATGCCCTGCTGAGGACGGGAGCACTGCTGAGGGGGATGCCCTGCTGAGGACGGGAGCCCTGCTGTGGACGGAAGCCCTGCTGAGGGGGATGCCCTGCGAGGACGGGAGCCCTGCTGAGGGGGGATGCCCTGCTGAGGACGGGAGCCTGCTGAGGACGCTGAGGGGGATGCCCTGCTGAGGACGTAAGGGGGATGCCCTGCTGAGGACGCTAAGGGGGATGCCTTGCTGAGGACGCTAAGGGGGATGCCCTGCGAGGACGGGAGCCCTGCTGAGGACGCTAAGGGGGAGCCCTGCTGAGGGGGGATGCCTGCTGAGGACGCTAAGGGGGATGCCCTGCTGAAGGACGGGAGCCCTGATGAGGATGGGAGCCCTGTGAGGATGGGAGCCCTGATGAGGATGGGAGCCCTGCTGAGGGGGGAGCCCTGCTGAGGACGGGAGCCCTGATGAGGGGGGTGCCCTGCTGAGAGGGGATGCCCTACTGAGGGGGATACCTGCTAAGGACGGGAGCCCTGCTGAGGGGGGATTGCCTGCTGAGGGGGGATACCCTGCTGAGACGGGACCTGGGGAGCCCTGCTGAGGGGGGATGCCCCTTGCTGAGAAGGGGGAAGCCCTGCTGGAGGGGGGATAGCCCTGCTGAGGGGGTATACCCGCTACGGCGGGAGCCCTGCTGAGGGGGGGATGCCTCCTGCTGAGGACGGGGATGCCCTGCTGAGGGGGGATACCCTGCTGAGACGGGAGCCCTGCTGAGGGACGGATGCCCCTGTTGAGGGGGGATGCCCGTTGCTGGAGGACGGGGATCCCTGCTGTGGGGGGGATGCCCTGCTGAGGACGGGAGCCCTGCTGAGGGGGGATGCCATCTGTGGACGGGAGCCCTGCTGAGGGGGGATGCCCTTCTCTGTGGGACGGGAGCCCTGCTGAGGGGGGATGCCCTGCTGAGGACGGGAGCCCTGTGAGGGGGGATGCCCTTCTGTGGACGGGAAGCCCTGCTGAGGGGGATGCACTGCTGAGGACGGGAGCCCTGCTGAGGGGGATGCCCCGCTGAGGACGGGAGCCCTGCTGAGGACGGAGCCTGCTGAGGGGGATGCCCTGCTGTGACGGGAGCCCTGTGAGGGGGGAATGCCTGCTGAGGACGGGAGCCTGCTGAGGGGGATGCCCTTCTGTGACGGGAGCCCTGCTGAGGGGGATGCCCTGCTGTGGACGGGAGCCCTGCTGATGGGGGGATGCCCTGCTGAGGACGGGAGCACTGCTGAGGGGGATGCCCTGCTGAGGACGGGAAGCCCTGCTGTGGACGGGAGCCTGCTGAGGGGGGATTGCCCTGCTGAGGACGGGAGCCCTCGCTGAGGGGGATGCCCTGCTGTGGACGGGAAGCCCTGCTGAGGGGGATGCCCTGCTGAGGACGGGAGCCCTGCTGAGGGGGGATGCCCTTATGTGGACGGGAGCCCTGCTGTAGGGGGGATGCCCTGTGAGGACGGGGAGCTCTGCTGAGGAGGGATGCCCTGCTGAGGGGGGATACCCTGCTAAGGACGGGAGCCCTGCTGAGGGGGGATGCCCTGCTGAGGGGGGATGCCCTGCTGAGGGGGATACCCTGCTGAGGACGGGAGCCCTGCTGAGGGGGGATGCCCTGCTGAGGACGGGAGCCCTGCTGAGGGGGGATACCCTGCTGTGGACGGGAGCCCTGCTGAGGACGGGAGCCCCGTTGAGGGGGGATGCCCTTCTGTGGACGGGAGCCCTGCTGAGGGGGGATGCCCTTCTGTGGACGGGAGCCCTGCTGAGGGGGGATGCCCTGCTGAGGACGTTTGAGGGGGGATGCCCTTCTGTGGACGGGAGCCCTG